GCAGGCACAACCCCAAAAGACGCTCATGCGAGATCACTCAATGTCAGACCCTCAGGCCTCATACGCGGTTTCTTCAGTCAGGGAAACGGGCAAGATATTCGTAATTTGCCACTCCGCCGCGCGCGGTGTTCCCTTCAACACGTCTTAACCTGCCGACTGGAGCACCGGACTCCATACAGACCCCGTTATCGTAGACATTCATGACTATTTTCAGTTCTGAATTGCCTTTTGTCGCCATCTACGACCTGGAACCATCGTCATTTGCGGGCGCGACGTCGCACGTTACCGTCAGCGCGGCGAATAACGATTCTCTTATCAAATACCCGCACAAAAGGGGGAGGGGTGGTAAGGATGTTAGAGGACGCTCGCTATCGATATTGGGCTATCAACCCAACCGCCCGTTACACTTACACCTATTTCCTAGCAAACAATATAGCGACCCTCCTTCGAAAACGTACCAAGGGCAGAACCGCTTTGGGATAACTTTCCACCCTACCCTACCCCGACAAAGAGATAACAGAAGATTAGCGAGAGGGACTTGTTCAAAAACTATATTACCAGACGGACAGTACTCACCTCTGGAATCACTTGATTAGATCGCTTCATTTCCTTTCTGTAGTTATCATCGAAACGGCGTTTTAGGAGTTGCCATCGCATCGCGGGGCTGTCTACTCTAGAATGATTCAAATATGGGAAAAACGCTGGCGATCAGTAGATAATTAGAACCATGTCAATAATACTTGGGGAAAATGAACAAACATACTCTTCGAACTGAGACCGAAGTGTAGCCTGCAGCTCGGGATCTTCGCAATGCTTCAATATTGCAAGTGCAGAATCGAGTTCAAGCCAACCCTGTTCGAGAACCTCAAAAAGGAAAGATTTCTAATCGCTCTTGAGGAATCAGGCCTAATTTGCTTACCATTTCATCCATTTCACCACATTCCATGGCTACGCGATAAGCAGTCTCCACCATGGGGTGAACAGGAAGCAATTTCTTGGCCATACTGGTACGATTACCGTATATATCGAGTTTGTCACCCTGAAACTATCGTGTTTTGGGCCTTCTTTGGAAACAAATAGAATTATTAAAATTGGCTTATAACTTAAGCAAATGAACAGAAAGTGCACATAAGACTGTGTTCATACTTCGCGTCAGCGTTTTGAGCACTAGGGAAGTGCAGATATCGATCTAGCTCCTGAGCATTCGGGTAGTTTTTTTTCGTAGGCAATCAGTGGAAACGCTGGCATATACTCAAGACACTGGTAGATATCTATACATTCCTAAGCGCTCGAAACGGTGACGTACGCTAGATCGATACCTATGCTTTCCTAGTCGCTCAAAACGTGACGAAAGTAGGAACGCAACTTGAAAAAGGCAATATCATACAAGTTGATATGAAGTGGTACTTTAACTTCAAACAGTTAGTACAACTAACCACAATCAATGAGAGATATTCAGCAACAGCAGAGCGCCCAGCATTCGTCAGCTTCCTCGCCTTCTCATCTCCTACCCAGCAATGAACACCTCGCCGTCCAGAAAACACCCACATTCGAGCTTTGAATCCGAAGTGATCTTAATTCAGGCTTGTCAAGCCATTATGAACAAAACTTCAGGTGACCTGATAATAAATGCATACCTTCGAGTAGCTTATCAAGGACTTGTACCGCGAGAGAGACAAACCTCCAACATTTCGCACATACCTTTGCCTCGCTGAAAGACAATGATCAGCTCGATTATTTCGATAGGCACCATATTACGGACACTCTTTCTCTTATCCCTTAGGTACTAGCTGTCAAATGGTTCTGTTAAAAATCTTCAAAAAAAAGTACGCGT